ATTAGGTGTACAGTACTCAAAAATGAAAAACAAAAGCCCATATGACCATTATAACTTGGGGCTTGTCAAGCCAGATAATTATCAACCTAGTATACATCAAAAAGGCTAAAATTAGCCAAAAAGTGACTCGAGACGGTCCACTTCAATTAAAACTAACACGTTCAATTGACGTGTGTTACTTTTCATTTTCAAGATGGTCCTAATCACAAGTGGCGATAGACAACGTCATTTTCAAGATGGTCCTAATCACAAGTGGCGATAGACAACATTAGTCTTCTCAAAATGGGTGGTAATAAATTAGTGGAGAAGAAAAATCTTATGGCTATTAGGTATTGAAATATCATTATATCTAAGAAGTTACGTAGAAGTTTCCTATTCAAACTTATTAAATTGTTTGTGGGCCATAATATTTTATAACTTAGAACAGAAGAATATTTTGATTTAAAATACTTGTCAATTTAACTTTGCCCAGTCCGATAAAATATGTGTCATTCATGGACAGGTACGGAATCATTGTACATAGACTACGTTTTTATTTCTTGACTTTATTGTATTGTTCGATGCTGATTGCTAACTTAGGCTCTGTTTGATAATAATTTTTCTACAAAAAAAATGCATTTTTTGTGTCAAATCACACATTTTTTGTGCCTCTTTCCAGCCATGGACCCCACTTNAGTCGCCGGAAAAGTCGTCGGAACGGTCACCGGAATAGTTGCCGGAAAAGAGTGGTGATCGGAAAGTCGGTTGGGGTGGTGGAGGTGGGGTGGGGTAATTATATTAAATTAGAATTAAATATTTAATAATAAATTGATTTAGTAATTTATTAATTATTAATTAAAAATTAAAAAAACATGATTTGTGAATTTTCAAACTTGTTTTTGTATTTTTGAAAATGTGTAAAGTAAATACCTTATAAATGTATTGTTCCCTTATTGTATTGTCCGATGCTGATTGCTAACTTAGGCTCCGTTTATAACCATTTTTCTACAAAAAAATGCATTCTTTGTGTCAAATCACACATTTTTTGTATTTCTTTCCAGCCATGGACCCCACTTAATGTGAAAGAAAAAATGTATTATTTGAAGAAAGAATGACTCCCAAACGGATTAAAATCTAATTTTAATTTTCAAACAAAAAAATTTTCCGATTAAAATCTAATTTAATACATTTTTCCGATTAAAATCTAATTTTAATTTTAAATTAAAGTTAACAATTAATTTTAACCACACATTTTATGGAATCCACAATTTTTCAACCACGCATTTCACTAATTTTTATTAAAATTTACTAAGCCCCTGTTTGGTACACATTAAAATTTTCATTCTTCTACTCATTTTCAACCACACATCTTTCAATAAAATAATATTTTTTATCAAATCAATAACTTTTCATTTATTTTCAACCACACATTCTCCATCAATCTACTATTCCAAAATAATGTGGATCAAACACACCCTAAATATCTGATTTTAATCTACGGGGCTTAATTTTTTTTATCAAAATTTAGGTAAAAATAAATAAATAAGTCAACTTGCTAACATCTACTCTATTTATTTATGATATGTCTTAATTGTTAATATTAACTTCTTTTACTTTCCCTTTAATCATAATTAGCAGAAACAAAACTTTAGTTAAAAATAAAAAAACACAAAGCAACCAAGACATTAACATGGTATTAAAAATGAATTAAGAAAAAGAACCCAACAACTATTAGATCATTCGTAAACTAAGTATGCATCACTCAACACGTTTCTAATATTTAATCAAATAGATTTTTCTTCAATATCTACTTTCACCAAAAAAAATAAAAAATTAAAGCTTATTTTTTGGCATAAATCCCACCTACTACTCTACTCTAAATAGTGGGAAAATCGAAGTTGGTTATCGTGTTCATATGAGTAACAATGTAACATCGTCAACTTCTTTGAGAAGTGCAACAATTGCAAAAAGAATTAAAACATTTAATTTGAAAGAAGAAAAATAACTCTTAACCACCGTTGTGCATCACATTCAACCCCCACAATATCGAGGCTCTTTGATTTATGGAAGAGCCAATGACTCCACTAATATATATATATATATAGTGACTATTCGAAAGTTAATAAAAAATTAAAAATCCAGTAATATATACTAAACCTCCAATTTATAATTTAGAAATTCAGTTAAAGTCAAAGATTCAATTAATCTGGGGTTAAATCAACAAATGACCATCCAATTTTATATTTAGTGTCATCATGATCACTCAAATTTGTTTTGTTTCATCATGACCACCAAACTTTATACTTAATATTATCATGACCACCCAATTTTATTTTATTTCAATATGGTCATCAAATTTCATATAATGTTTCACTATAGCCACCCAAAAGGGGCAAAATGACAAATTTTCATTATAAAAGTTTTTTATTTTATTTTATTTTTAAAAGAACTTTTTATTTTATTTTTAAAATTTTTTTAAAATAAGTTTTTATTTTAAGTAACACTTTTTTAATTAAGTTTTTATTTTATTTTTAAATTTATTTTTTATATATAATGTAAAGTTACCGTTTTATCCATTTTAAAATTAAGGGAAAATGGTGAAAAGAAATTGTGTAGCCATGACGAAATGTTATAAAAAATTAGGTGGCCACAGTAAAACTTTATATAAAATTTGGTGGTCATGATACAATAAAATCAAATTGAGTGGCTATAGTAATACGAATATAAAGTTGAGTGATCATGATGAAATAAAATCAAATTGAATGACTCGACCATGCTAAATATTTAACCCAATCTGACACACGGAAGATGATTAGAAAAATTGACAAATAACAATCGAGGTTTGGTCCAATCAATTATCAATTTAATCATTGCATTAAAATATTTACTGAATTTCACTTTCACTCCCATCAATTCTATGGCAAATGGTGCCATGCCGCACGCGAATTGTACGCGTATAAATTTATGTATACATAACTCGAATTTGTTCGGGGTTTTGTTACTTTCATTATCAAAGACTATAATTTGGTATAAATTTCACAGAGACCAGTGAAGGTAAGCTAATTCAACTTTTATTTTTATTTTTTTACTGGAGTTTCTTGGAATTTATTTTTGATTAAATATTGGATATTTTCTATACGAATTAATGATTCAGATATGAAATTTAATTATTAATATTGTTAAAACCGGCGTTGGTTGAGCTGCTTCCTGTGTATCCAGTTTACCCACAAAAATAGCAACAGCCTGTTCTTTTCTGTTTATGATCTCTTCTTTAGGGTTGTAAATGGCTGAAATGACTAATATGATCTGTTATATTTTCTCTATTTATTATTTTAACTGAATATTGATGATCAGTACTGAAATATGCTAAAATTCCTTAATAATCCAGGAGATTCTGGAATTGCTACTTAGATGTTTTTGTGCCAAATTAATATTTTAGGGGTGTAATCTGTTATTCAATAAAATTGGACAGGTAAATTGATGAATCCAATTGATATTGATTTTGAGGAACACGGCAATGACCAGCCACCTCCAAGTTCAGTGGGTGGGGGTCAAGAATCAATGCATCCAAGAGGACAAGATGGGCAAACTGAACAGTTCCAGGTAGCCAGGAGAAAAGGAAGGTTAACCACAATGGTATGAAATTGCTTCATTTACTTCCTTCAAGGGTATGGATATTTTTCTAGCAAAGTAAGCACAACCCCAGGTTTAAAAGCTGAAATGAAACAAGGCATGGCGGGACAATGTGACATGGTGTTTGCAAATTTTGTGAGTTGGGCCACGAGGCCTTCAATGCTTAGTCAAGAGAGGTGCAAAAATTCTTTATTTGTCCAACACCATTGAGAATACTTAAGCATTAACGTTTTGGAAGCAATTCTGTTACATAATGATCATTAGGTGTACAGTACTCAATTGACTGTTGAACGTGCATGAATAGGGACTTTTTTACCTTAGTTCATTTGCTTTTTCTTTTAGGGGTTGTTCTCTTCGTGTTTCAATTTTTAGTTTTGAATTCATTTTGGGTTTTGTGTTTTGAGTGTCCATTTTGAAAAGTTGTTATCAAAAATTAAAAAAAAGAAATTTTGGCTTAGTTTTAACTGAAAATAGCCAAAACGACTTTTTTGGCTTTTTCGTTTTCTTTGTAAATTTTAAACCCGTTTTTGGAAATTCGTTTCTGAAAATAGGTAAGTAAACGTGTTTTCGGTGTTTTCGAAAACTGAAAATGATTGAAAACAGCAAAGAGAACATGCCCTTAACCTTTTGGTTTTCCGAAATGTAAGCTGTTTCTGAGCCACAGTGCTGCTAAGTATTATAGAATCACCAGTATAAACATTCCCCCCACCCAAATCAAAAGGGAAACATGAAAGTTATAAAGAACAACATAAGGAAATAAATAAAAAGAATAACACCAGTTTTTGAGTTTGTGCTGATACCTCAAACTGAGAACTGATCTGAGTGTGTTTACTTGCAGTTTTCTTCAGTGAATCTTTCCAGCACCCTACTACTAGCATACCAGAGCTTTGGTGTGGTATATGGAGATTTGAGCACATCACCTCTCTATGTTTATAAAAGTATATTCATTGGGAAGTTGCAAAATCATCAAAATCCTGATGCAATATTTGGTGCATTTTCATTGATTTTCTGGACGCTGACGCTGATTCCTTTGCTCAAATATGTATTTCTTGTACTGAGTGCTAATGACAATGGTGAAGGTATGCTAAGCTTACTGTACTTTTAAATATTTAACTGAATACCCCGTAGGTTCTGATAACATCAGACCAACTATTTATGCAGGTGGCACATTTTCTCTTTACTCCTTGCTTTGTAGACATGCAAAACTCAGTTTACTTCCCAATCAACAAGCAGCAGATGAAGAACTCTCAGCTTACAAATACGGTCCCTCAGGACAGTCTTCATCATCTTTAGCACTGAAGAGATTTCTAGAAAAGCACAAAAAGTCTCGGATATTTCTACTACTTGTAGTTTTATTGGGGGCTGGCATGGTAATAGGTGATGGTGTAATCACTCCAGCAATTTCAGGTATGATAATGCTAATTATTAATGTCTTTGAAGTGGTATTAGATAAAAGAGAAATATAGCTGTTATTGACTACTTTTCATCGTGGTATTATAAGGACTACTATCTTGCAGAATTATTTCTCCCCATTTTTTTACTTTCTGAAATTTTGTACAAGCAGATATTTCACTTTATGGCACTTTTATTTTAGCATGAGTAACATTCAAGTTAATGACTTTTATTTTAAAATTTTCATGTTATTTATAAATTAGCAAGACCATTCATTTGTCCGTCATTCAACTTTCATCACCAATAATGTCTAAGGTGAAAATTCTGGTTAAATGTCCCATGATTGAGGTTATAATCCATTGTACATAAATCACCACAATGATTGCAAATATGACTGAATATTTTTGCGTACTTCAGCTTTGATTATTTATTTTCCAAAACACAAGCAAAAATTGAACTGTAGGTCATGTAATCCTAAGTTGCATGTTTGTTTCTATCTCAGATCCTTCTGATTTTTAACCCTCATTCATATACTTGCTTTTTTGAGTGATCTCAGTCTGATCATTTGTATTAGAGCTGTTTTCAATCAGCATCTTTTTTTCATTTCAGTTCTGTCATCAATATCAGGGCTTCAAGCAGCCGAGAAAAGGTTGAATCAGGGTATGCATGGTTCTCTGTATTTCGTTAATTATTATTTGAAATGAGTTGCAATCGCTTTTATACCGTCGCAGGATTGCACTCCACTGCATAAAATTATACTTCTGATCATCAAAACAATCTTCCATCTGTAGGTGAGGTCCTATTGCTCGCTTGCGTTATATTGATTGGCCTATTTGCTCTGCAACATTTTGGTACCCATAAGGTTGCTTTCTTGTTTGCACCAGTCGTTATTCTATGGTTGATATCAATTTTTGCCATTGGGCTGTATAACACAATATACTGGAATCCAAAAATTGTCTTTGGTCTTTCTCCGCATTATATCATTAAATTCTTTAGTGAAACTGGCAAAGATGGATGGATTTCACTTGGCGGGGTTCTTCTTTCCATAACAGGTAAGTAAAATCTTGTCCTGATGCTTCCCTACTTAATAAAAGAAAATTGAACTTTTTTACTTTATCACCCAGAAAATCAATTTAATCAATTTACTGGGTTAAGACTTGGTCTTTCTTGTAACAGTTATATCAATGAAATGAGAAACCTCAAGTTTTTTACTAATAGCTACAATTTCTATGATTACAGGTACTGAAGCCATGTTCGCAGATCTTGGCCATTTCACTGCCTGCTCAATAAGGGTAAGTCCATCCCAATGTACCAATAGCAAACATTAAGTTGAGAATGTGATTAACGAGAATCCAACAGTTTAGTTTTACTCCAAGTTAAGGGTTCTATCATATATTCCTTTTCCTACTAGGCATTAGATTCTAAATTACTTTGGGGAGCCTATGGGTGGAAAATTTTGTTTATTATTGCAGTTGGCTAGATCAACTAAGCACCTACTATCTGTTTATCACTTCACACTATATTATGTGAATTACCAGTGACACATGAGCTCTATCATAATCTGCATATTTTCTGATGTGCAGCTTGCATTTGCATTTATTGTATATCCTTGTTTGGTAGTGCAATATATGGGCCAGGCTGCTTATCTGTCAAAAAATATTTCTTCAATTCCAAACAGTTTCTATGCCTCAATACCTGGTTAGTTTTGTCGCTATCCTATTTGATATCCTTATAGATATTATATTTTTTTGTGGAATCAAAATTAGTTATATTCTGCTGGTAATATTTGTCCTGCAGGTAGTGTATTTTGGCCTGTCTTTGTTATTGCCACCCTTGCTGCCATCGTTGGCAGTCAGGCTATTATTACCGCTACCTTCTCTATTGTTAAGCAATGCCATGCTCTTGGTTGCTTTCCACGGGTTAAGGTTGTTCACACGTCAAAACATATCTATGGACAGATCTATATACCAGAGATAAACTGGATCCTCATGATTCTTACTCTTGCTATCACTATTGGTTTCCAGGACACAACAATGATAGGGAATGCATATGGTAAGCCAATAATATCAAATTGTAACTTCCATCTCTGTTTCATAATTTTCTTTGAAGACTGTTGGTTATATTATGCTTATGTGCTGCTTATGACGATATTTCAGAACATAACAAATTTAATGAAATCTTGCATGTATTATTCCTGCATTCATAACCATAATAGAAATTGCTTACAGAGCACTATGGGATATCAACAATGTTGAAAGATTTTCAAGATAAGGTTTCATGATAAGCTGCGATATAGATGAGTGTGTCTAGACAATTCACTCTGCAGTAGCTGAAAGAGAGAGCAATCTGATATGCTGAATCATATCTTTAACTTCGCATTGATATTTCTATTATCGTCGACTCAATGCTGATATTCCCTAATCCTACTTTCTAACACGTCATATGCAAAGATTAATATGCTTTGTGCATCCATGGTCTAGGACAGTAAGGACTATTAAAGTTTGTGAGATCTTTAATGAACTGGAATTTGTTTTTAAAGGAAATTGGTTGAACTTGATGATTTGAGATGTTGAGAATCGAAAGTAGTTTTTCACCGGGCTGAACTTGCTAGAAATTGAAGAAAAAATTCATAAGGTACCCCCTAAATCCCTTGGTATCACCCCAAGGATTTGAATTGCATCGAACAACTTAATACAAAACTAGAATTTGTAGAAATACTTCTCCTTCATCGTAATTTAGACGCCTAGAATGCTTTAAATAGGCACAGTGAATTCCTAAATCTCGTAGGATTCCAAATTCTGATTTGGAAACCAAATAAATTGCCTACCTAACTTAATAGTAATGACCTGATACTAGGAAAGACAATACTTAACCCTTAACTAAATAAACTATTTTAGAAATATGTAGGTTTCTAAAAATTACCAAAATATCCCTCACCTAAAGGCTAAAAATACTTCACAAAACCAAAATCTATAACCGACATGCTAAGTGGCATGTTTATTTTGTTACACCCTTTAAATTTCCAACACTTGAAGGAAACTTTGCCATGGGAACGTACCTTACTCACTTTCATATTCTTTATATCTCTACCACAAGAGGAGCATGTCCTTGACACATCAAGGACACATAACATCCCATTTTTTAATTTTTGGAAAATAAAGTTAGGTAAGTTTTTAATTATTAAAACATTTGTGTAAAAAAGTTGAGAAATTCTATGAACTTCATGTCAAATTTTTTGTGTATCTACTATGCATTTTTCTTTCTTCTAGCAGTAGTAAAATATTGTTTAATCAATGTTGTCTTGATATAACAAATACCTACTTCTCTGATTCAAAAGATTTCAGCTTCAAAAATTAATGCTAAAAAGCATTGGTTTTATTGAAAAATAAAAAAGTATTAAAATGAAGATATAATATATAATATAATAAAAAATGTGATTTGATGTGTCGCCAACATGTCAGAGGTCTACTTTTTCGAGAAATCACGTGTGTATGCTGTGTTTGAACACGTGTGTCCGTATCCGTGCCTGTGCTTCTTAGACAATTGGCTAATGGATTTATTTTTTCCTGAAAATCTGCTTTGCTTTTTGAGAATCTGACATACACGTGCTTATCAATTATGGACACATGCATAATGTTTACTGCGTGTTTTGGTCCTGTATGCTGTGGGCTTAGCATAGTTATTTTTTGAGATATGCTCCTCTTTCATTTATTGTGAGCTTGGAGAAAGTTGGGGACCTAACCCTCTCCCACCTCCATGCCCCCAAGTCCAACACAACTAAAATCCAGAAGTTGAGGAAGGGATTTTTCCTTCTCTCTCTCTCTCTCTCTCTTTTTTTTTTTTACTTGTGATTGTAGTGTGGGGATAAGGAAGACACTTTGTTCTACTAAAAGCAAAAGGAAAGAAAAGAATTGCAAAGTTTAAATGCTAGTTGAGCATTTTCAAACTATAGGGGGGAAAGAAAATACCCTGGCATCTTGTTCTTGCTCCAAACAATTTAACCTGGAAACTGCCTTCTGTGATTACTTCTGGCCATGAGTTTTTTGGTGCAGCAAAGTACATTTATTTTCCCATCTGTTTTTCGTATTTTGTGATGATATATTGATTTTTTCTTATATTGGAGCTTCTGTTTGGCAGGCCTTGCTTGCATGTCCGTTATGTTTATTACCACATTTCTAATGGCACTTGTCATGGTCTTTGTCTGGCAAAGAAGTGTCGTACTTGCTGCTGCATTCCTCCTTTTCTTTTGGTTCATTGAAGCTGTTTACCTATCAGCTGCATTCATAAAAGTTCCTCAGGGAGGATGGGTATCGCTTGTGCTATCCATGATCTTTTTGTTTGTCATGTTTGTCTGGCACTACGGAACTTGTAGGAAGTACAATTTTGATCTGCACAATAAAGTTCCACTAAAATGGCTCCTTGGTTTGGGCCCTAGCCTTGGTATTGTCCGTGTGCCTGGTATAGGTCTCATATACTCAGAATTGGCAACGGGAGTACCAGCTATATTTTCACACTTCGTAACAAACCTCCCTGCTTTTCACAATGTTTTGGTGTTTGTTTGTGTAAAATATGTTCCAGTGCCCTATGTCTCACCTGAGGAGCGCTTCCTCATTGGCCGCATATGCCCCAGACCCTATCGCATGTATCGGTGCATTGTGCGGTATGGATACAAGGACATACAGCGAGATGATGGGAACTTTGAGAACCAACTCATTCAAAGTTTAGCAGAGTTTATCCAATTGGAAGCTGTAGAACCTCAGTCCTCAGGCTCCGACACTGCATCATATGATGGGAGGATGGCAGTCATAAGCACCAGAACTATTCAATCCAGTTCAAGTTTAATAGTATCTGAGCATGATGATTTGGGTTCGAGTGATTCCATCCAGAGCAACAAATCATTAACCCTACATAGCTTAAGATCGGCTTATGAAGATGAGAACCCACAGAGGAGGCGTCAAGTGAGGTTCCAGTTGCCCCAGAGCCCTAGAATGGATCCCTCTGTAAGGGAAGAACTATTGGACTTGATCCAGGCGAAGGAGGCAGGTGTTGCATATATAATGGGGCACTCATATGTGAAAGCAAGACGGTCTTCCTCTTTCTTGAAAAAGCTTGTCATTGATATTGGTTATTCATTCCTCCGTAAGAATTGCCGAGGTCCGGCTGTGGCACTTCATATTCCTCACATTAGCCTCATTGAAGTAGGGATGATATATTATGTGTAGAGGTTACTATTCCATGTTGAGAAACTCTGTCGGGGTGCAATGCGAATTGACCTTTTGTACAAGTTGATAAGCTTATGATTTTGAGTAGGTTCTAGCCGTGCAAGTAACAAAGAAGCTGTTATAAGTTTTTCCGTTGCGCTCCTTATATGTATATACAGAGCTCTTATTTTAAAGTCACTACTTGAAGGTTACTATCCCTTTTATCACAGCATGTGTAAAATGATTCCAAATGTAGAAGTGTCCAAATTTCCAGTAACATACAACTGGCCAAGTCTCAGAACTCTATTGCTCAACTTTTTATGTATTTTCTCATCAAGTTATTTTAGTTCTCTCTTTCACTTTTATATGATGTGTAAAGAAGATTGATTGTTGTTCAAATGCGTCAAAGAAGACGATGAGAGTTCATTTCGATTAATTTTAAAAAGACTCATACATTGGATTCCTTGTGACCAATAAATGAATTAAGAATTTTTCAGATGATGCTCTCATCTTGAATCGCTGCACTTCTTAATATTATAACTATCCCTTCTGTGATGATATATCCACTTTCTTCTTTGTTTGCTTCCTGCACATTATCCCTGTTTATGATCTGCATAACATGAATTAAAGTGAGTCTAATTTCAACATTTTTTCCTTTACGAAATAATGAATTGATATTCAAGAACGAGAATTTTGATTGAATGATTGCACGTACCTGAACATTTTGGCCAATCCTTGCATTCTTGTCAATTATAGCTTTTCTTATGTGTGAACCTTCTCCTATTCCAACAGGATTGCAGAGGCCTCTCTCTTCCCCGGCACCATTCTGGACATTGTTCGTCTGTTAGATAGTTACATTCGAGAAACAGGATATTCAGGACAAAAGGTACCTTGTTCAATTCACTCTTCCTGATGATCTGTTAAAATTTCAGAAGAAAAAACTGTGCGCTTCTTACTTGATAGGTATCGGAACCCATAATGACTGAATCCTCGATGATGGCTCCCTCACCAACTCTTGTTCTCATTCCTAAGACCGAGCCATCTACCGTGCATTTCTGTTTGAAAGGAACACAAAAAACGACAGATCAAACATGTTTGCATATTTCGTTAGCGAATATGAATGAAACATTTATATATATTGGAATTCTGCTTCTTACGCTGAGAATGCAACCATCTCCAATGACAGAATCTGTAATAACAGCATCGGTTATTAGAGTTGGAGGCAGATTCCGAGGTAAAGTGTACACTGGAGAATCTATGGCGTAGAAGCTGTTAACAAAAGACGATGCATTCAGTAAAAGGATTTCTTTACAACTTTTTTGATATTTCTTTACCGTATCTCATGAAGACACAACGTGTGTCTCCATCTAGAATGGAGACACTATCCTAGATAATTTCTCCCAGTCCTATGTAAAGTGTACACTGGAGAATCTATGGCTTAGAAGCTTTTAAGAAAAGACGTTGCATTCAGTAAAAGGATTTCTTTACATCTTTTTTGATATTTGAAGGTACTTACCTGTACGCATTGTTTGCTTTTCTGGTGCATTCCATGTTAGCACGGTAGTATGCTCCTATGCTTCTAATGTCCTCCCAATAACCATCAAATCGATAAGCACAGATCTAGTTGTTGCATGAAAGAAGATTTCCTCAGAATAAAAAATAGAAAATCGATGTGGTCTTGCGATAATCTGAAACACCAACCTTCATTCCTACGGAAATTGCACCTGGAATTACTTCACTATTCAAGTCATTCGCGAAAGGAAAATATTCCGTCAGGAGCTGTCCCATGATATTTTTGTTAAAGACATAGATTCCCATGCTCGGGAAATTATGAAGAAGAAAATCATCAAATTTGACCGAATTTTTTACCTGAAAATTCGAATACTATAAAGTATCTGTGTGATATGATATCAATTAAGAAAAAAGGAAGGTAGGAGGAGACTTACTGACATAGATTTCAAAGAGTCCATCTCGGGATTCTCTCTAAAATTGATAACTTGGCTTTGAGCATTTACTTTGAAAATTCCAAATCCTAAATCTTCTTCTCTTGAACTACTCAATACTGAGACAGTTATGTCCGCTTTGCTGCTCCGGTGGGCCTCTATAATTTTCTGGTAGTCCATTTTATAAAGGTGGTAACCAGGAAGGACTAGAAACTCAACAACCGGATACTCCTCGAGTACCCACAAACACCTTCTTATAGCATCAGCAGTTCCCTAAATAATGTTGAAAACTTGCATTGAATTAAAAAAATTCAAGAGAGTTTAACAAAGTTCATTCAACTGCAATGCTTATCATTTAACCTGAAACCAGTCCTGGTCTTCTGGACTCTGATATGCTGCAATAACTTCAACGAATCCCTCTTTCCCAAGGCATGCCCCCGCATAAGCTCTTGAAAGGTGAGAATTTAGAGAAGTAGAGTTAAATTGCGTAAGAGCGTAGATTTTGGTAATGCTGCTGTTGATGCAATTGCTGACAACTGCATCAATTAGTCTGTAATTTCCTGATATAGGAATGGCACCTTCTGCTCTTCGCTTTGTCAATGGATAGAGTCTTGAATGTGAACCATCTCCGAAAACAATTGCTGCAACACTCTGAGACGTAAAACATGTCAATACAATTATAAGATAAATCTATAAATATCAACCTTTAAACTTAGGAGATGACAAAATCTTGAACTTGAAAATTTATTACCTGGTTTGCCGGGGGAAACAGAAAAGCTGGGCATTCATACTGCTGTGAATTTGTTATCGATAAACTTGAAGGCAAGGCTGGAATGAGGTTTGATGCAGGTTTGTAACATATAGACGGGAGCCTAATTTTGAGATTGAATGAAGCAGAAAGAGACATCAGATTAGAAGAAGTGAATTGGTTGTATAATAATTGTTAGTTTTGTTTGCTTCTTCATCACTCCATTAAGAATTCAAGAGGGAGAGTTACAAGGGAATATTTAAGTTTCATCTTCATGAATGTCTGCTCATCAATCAAATACCAAGTAAATGAAGGCAAGCACTGTTAACAGGAGATAGCTTGTTTAGTTATCTCACTCTAATAAAGACCATTTCGACTTTGCATTAGTTGGATCCTGGGTCCAGTGTTTCCTTTTGTTTGAGAATGAGTAGGTGCCAAGGTAGGTTCTGCCAGCTTTTTATATGTTGTGATTTCTGTGTCGCATAATCTTGTGACAACGTGACTAATAAGCCTAACCAAAATACTGAGTACAAGGTTAACGATCACATTTTTTATTTTTCTACTAATTAAGATTTATCTTTATGAGAAAACACATTGCCTAAACTACGACAGGATTTGTAAGAAAGCATTCTTAATGACAAATTGCAGCCCAAAAACTGTCTACTTTTCACTAATTGTCTTATGAAATACATTTCCTAATAAGAATGATCTCGAAACTTCGTGTGGCTGGGTGGAATTATTACTTTTCATTTCTCATCTCATGAAAAAATGGAAAATTTAATACAATTGGGATTTTCTTACTTCTCAATGATATTTCATAATCAAGACAATTTGTTGAATCAGTGCCTCAAAATCACCAGCCAATAAGCTTCTCTCTCATGCCTTTATTCTAGGAAGTTTTCTCCTCGTGGCTCGAAAAATTATTTGATTCAGATCGGTACAAAACAAAACTCTGTTTGAATTCTTGGAACTCAAAATAAAAAATAAATAAATTGGGAAGCTCCGAGATAAAGATTAAATTCTTTGTTTTGTAGAAGGTTTCATTTTATAAACACAAGGAACAAAGCCGAAGATACGTAGAAACAACCCTAAAATATTTCATAGCTTAGCTAATGTCTTGCTCAAAATTGTCTTTGAAGTTACCCGCGAAACATAACAGTCACAAACCAAAATCCATTTCAATGATAAATCCTGACCGCAGAGCATGATTTTACAAGTGAAACACTGTCTAATCAACAAGATTACACAAAATTGTTAATAAATATGCTGCCCAGCATATGTTTCTTGTGTCAATCTTCACTCTTTCTCTTCTTCTTTTTCTCCTTTTTGGTTGGAGTTTCACCTTCTTCCCCAGGCTCGGCGTGCTTTCTCTTCTTTTTCTTCTTCTCTTCTGCTTCAACATTGTCATCTGCATTTTGTAATTCAGCATTCTCAGCTAAATGCTTCTTCTTTTTCTTCTTTTCCTTTTTACTGACTGCCTCGTCTTCAGGTTCTGCACCAACCACTTCATCATTTGACACAGCAGCAGTCTCTTCAGCATCAGACTTCTTTTTCTTCTTCTTCTTCTTTTTCTCTTCATCGGCAACAGGAACCTCGTTGCCAGCTTCCCCATCTGCTTCATTCTTTCTCCTTTTTTGGCTCTTTTCAACAGTTTTCTCAGCCAATGGCTCAGTCAGTCCAAGAATGGAATCAGCTGAAGGATTGTAAGTCTGCATACATGATAAATTTAATTTAAGATGAGGACGAAAAATTTTGTAGCATGAAACAGTTAGAAAAGTGAAATGACCTTGGCAGGAGTGATCAATCCGCCTGACCCCTTCTTGCGGTCCTTGTCATAGAATTCTATCTTCGGTTTGCCTTTAGCAGATCCAGCGGAACGACTGAGCTCTTTGCCTTCCAAGTTCCTTAACCGCGCTTCAAGCTGTAGAAAATTGAGTGAGAAGTCATAAAAACAAAGGGATAAATTGGATGACTGTAATTTTTTCAAAAAATAGAAGTCAACATACCTTCGCTCTATTTTCCAATCCCATGGAGTTATCTTGGCCATCTCCAAGGGCATCATATCGAATAGCCAATGCAGCTTTAGAAGCTAGAGACCGTGAAATTTTACCCTTGTGTTTGGGTGCTGCCTGACCAATTAAAGATGCGTGGTATATAAGACCATATTTAGGGGTTGCATGCTTCGTCTTCAGAGCTCTGAAGAGAGCCTTTTCTGCACCAAGTATCTGAACTGTACTTCCAGGTTGCTTTGCAAGATTCAATAAGCTGCCTCCATGAGCAATAAGGCGAGCACCAACGAGCTCTCCAACTAGAGCAGTGAGATTTGGGGCGATGGTGTTCATCCTGCTCTTCAAATAATCATACAATTGAGCTCTATATTCTGAAAGTGAGAGAACTTGGTTGCACAGATCTTTAATATTCTCCAAATCAAGGTCACTAACTTCAGTTCCCATGGAAATCATGGATGCTTCTTTCAGCTCTGTCTCCACTTCTTCTGGGAGGACCTATGAACAGTTTAAGAGCACATATAAAAATCAACTCAATATATTTTACAAAGTTGGGATAAGAAAATGGAAAATTTTCCACTCTTTCCATTTAAATCTGCTGCATAAAAGAACAAGAATTTGCAGAAACATGTAATTCTACCCAATTGAAACAAGAAGTGACAATCTGAAACAAAATGCAACTCTTTCTACTCAAGTGTGCAACAGCTATGCTGTAGAACAGGTATGTCTTGCATGAACTTGTTGATAAAACCATAAGGTGGCACCAGCAATGTTTAGATAGATTCACGAGTAGCATGTCTATGCCCTTGGATTAGGGGACTTTGAAACTAAAACCTAGCAGCAATTCTTCAATTGAGAATCCACATTGTAAGACTCAAGTCTTAACACTTCTATTTACAAACAAAAAGATCATGCAACCCCAAGTAAGGGATTTTATTTTTAAAGCTAATCAATCAGCTAGAGAAAACTGACTCACTATTGCATATTTGAACCCATCTTTCACGGTTCTTATACAAGTATGAACTTTATCCAAGTAAAACAAGAGGATCGAGAGGGGAATCATAAAGAGAAACGAAATTTCTACCTCAGAGAAATCAAGCTTTGCAGCATTTGTGCGATTACCCATCAACTTAACCGTCTTGGCATAAAGGATATTGTCTTGTACAATCTTGGCAAGCTCTGGAAAATGCCAGCCGTACCATTCTCTAACCCTCATCGCATATGTGTTTAGCTCTTTGTCAAGGTCATCCAACAAGCTAATGGCTTGTATGATCATCGTATCGACCTAGTATGACATCGGACAGGAGCTAAAGGATTAATAAAAATATTGATATTCAAATGATAATTCAAGCAAATAGTCAACCTTTACTAGTTTCCTTATTTGGTTATCCTTTCTTCCACCAAACAAATTAAAAAAAAAAAATTGATCATTTACTGAGAAAAGCAAAGTTAACTACCAAAGAGCACTAACTAAAAAATGGCAAACGGAGCGACCAAAGAGACTAGTTAACTACCAAAGAGCACTAACTAAAAAAAATGGCAAATGGAAGGCCCAAAGAGACTCCGGACTCCACAGAACGACCAAAAAAGAAAAAGAAAAAAAAAGAACACTATTATTAAGAATATCACCATACTTCAAGCTTTAATTAAATTGGTTCTCAATATTAACAAAATTGAATTGTTAAGCAAAGGCTCCATAAAGGAAAAACTGAACTTAGTCTACCATCTTTTTACATTTTCTGAGAGTAACCAACCATTGGCTATTTCGAATTTACCTAACAAGGAATTATGACACCATGTTACAATATCAACTTCCACATTATTTTACAATATTACCAAAATAACTTCTGTTAATTTGAGTTCCGATTGCAAGAAAATTGAAATTAGGCAATATGTGAAAATAGCAACTAATCAAGATCTTTCACTAATTAAGATGTAGCCATGGTAAAAAGTAAACTTTTATTCCTTGCTACAAGACCTCAATGCAATGCATTTTGCAAAAGCTTGATGTGAGAATTTCTCCAACAGATGACAAGTTCAATTTGATGTTTAACAACATATAAAGAAATCAAAATTTTGTCCTGCATAAGAATTAAAATTTTGGGCATTGTGCAAGCAATAGCGAGCATCTCTTAAAAGATGTCAATAGCTTTTATATACCTTTCATCACAAGGCCACTTCACTGTTTATCTTTGTTTCCTCTATACGAAATGGAGTAAGGTTGATGGCATCTATAAAATAACACCACTAAAAGAAAAACTATAAAACAATTCACCTTGTCAGGACTGAATTTCAACTTGTATCTTGACAGGCTATGAGATAAACCCAAGCTCATTGGAGCCAAATCTTGAGAAGCTAGACCAGAGATGAGTTCAGTCAATTGACTTCTCACCCCTCTCATCAGTTCCATGACAGCATTGTTATGAACACACTCAATTTGCTGCAAGGCATTAAAGTATTAGCTTAGTTGTAGGGAAGCTTAAGTACAGCATGTTACAACTTAACCGCACATCATGTCTTCACTAGATCAGTGTTAACGCACCAATTTCTCCTTAATTGCATTTCCAAGCTTAGAGTCGGCCACGGCTAAAATGTCATCTTCACAATGAGAACGGAGGAATTTGCGAAGACCCTTGCTGGGTTTGCTATCAATCAATAAGGTAGCCGCGGACAGCGCCTCTGATGTGTTTTCAAACTTGGAAAAAGCTTTCAGCTTAACAACCTATTGTTAATATAGAGCCAATAGCTAATTAGACCCATAAATGTGCAACATTACAATTACATAGATGTATTAGTACTATTTAAAAAGAGCCCTTAAAGAACAGTTCTCGTGACACTTAAATTTTGAACTTTTCTCCACAACCACCTAATAGAATATAAACAATTAGACAGCTATAAATTATTAACTAGAATTGAGATGAAGGCATGATATTGCACTAAATAGTCATTGCACCGCAAATATTGTCAATTTACTGAAGAATCCTCTCTATCTTTTATCCTTTTTTCCATTGGCTGAAGACAAAGTTGTTAAATGATCAAAAAAACCTTCAGCCTGCTAATGCAATAAAATCAAATTTGACAACCATATATATTCTATTAAAACAGCAAATAAGCCCAAAAGTAACTTTAATTTTGCCAGCAACATTAACAAATTCATGCACATTTAAAACATATACACATATATAGAAAGATAAAGAAAAATATAAACAGATTAAGAAAAATGACCTGTCTAGCTGAATCTGCAGTAGAGAACTCCTTCCACAAGTCCTGCAATCAAGTCAAGAAGTATTCCGTCCTCAAAAACAAAATTACTCGTACATCGAAAAAAAATTAATTATGAAGTACAACAATAGAAGAAAACGGGGGAATTAAAAAACAAAAAATTTACAAAAAAAAAAAAAGAAGAATACCTCAACTTTGGATAGCTTGCCTTCATCCAAGACTTTGAAAAGGGCAAACCCCGCAGGGGTTTCGAACAGCAGTAACATTCTTCTTGCTCGAAATCGTCGACCTGTCGACAGCCACCAAATTTTTCTCGAGCTAGGGTTTGGGAAAAAAGCGTAGGGGTTTAAGAGAATCGAGCGTCTTGTACATTTATAGTGTGTGTGTGTGGTACACTGTAGCCCTAGATTTTGATTTTTAAGGTCATAATAGTCTTTTACTAGTTATTAATCCTTTTCAACATATAAATAATAATCTTAATTATATTCTCACAACAATTTTTATTTCTTGCACTATGTTTTTACTAGTTATATACGATTCTTAGCACTTGTTTGATCTCTATTTTTTTCAAAATACATGTTTTTCTCTTTTCTTTTCAATCATACATTTTTCAATAAAATAATATTAAACGCAAAATCAAATATTTTCCTTATTTTTTAACCACGCATTCTGCAAAAAAATATATTTTTTTCCTAATGATTTTTCGTGTCATTCTTGTTCTCAAACTTTCCATTAGTTAACATATTTTGTATGTAATAACAATTTTATGTTAAAAAATCCATTGAAATGGCGTAAATTACTTATTTTTCACATCATATTTTTAAAAAATAAATCAATTAAAAAACAATCCCTCATTTCAAAATAAGAAAACAAAATATTTTGATATAAATCATTATTAATGATTAAACGTACTAATTAATGGAATGTTAAATATAAAAATTCAAGGTAAAAAGTTAAAGAAAATAATTATTACAATGAGTAAAAATTATGGAGTTTAACTGCAATTAAAATGTGGTTTATCAAATAAAAATTTTGTTGGTAATATAACCACAATATAATATAAGTTCATTTCAACCTTACTAGGCTTAATTATATGAATCATTGCTGAACGTTGCGTAAAGTTTTTATCGGGTATCTGAACTTTAAAAATTACCCAATTAATTACTAAATTTTGTAATTTGTTATCACATCCATTACCCACTCAACGGTAGTTAAAAATTGACGAATTTACTGGCATGGTTGACGAAATAGCGTACAAGGAAATCTATTTCCCACTTGGCATCCACTTTAGTAGCAATTTAAGAAATGAGTAATGGATAGTATAGCGAATTACAAAGTTCGGTGATTAGAGGAATGATTTTTAAAGTTCAATGACCTAATGAAAACTTTACAAAAAGTTTAATGATGATTAAGGTAATTAACCCTCTTTCCTCTTGTTCTTTTACCATTTTTTTTTCTTTGCAGTTTTGTTTCCATTTTTATCAATCTTTGTGTTTTTTAGCCTTTTTCTTTAGCCTTTTTCTTTTTTTCTATCCTCCTATCCAACAATTTTATTCTCTCCAATATCACTAAACTGTATTGATCACTTAATAGTATTCAATTTTAAAATTTATACACATCTTCAATTGGAATTTAATAGATTTCTACTTTTTATTTAGCTCTGCATTGAATAAAAGATGAACGAAGCTGAAGCAACCCATGAAACTGTCACACGCTATGCTCCAAAAAGAAAGTGAAACGAGTGCTTCAATCTTTGTTTGGACTCGGGGCTCACAGGCCGATAACTAAATTTGGGTTTAAATCTAACAATTTACTTTAATGAAATGCATTATTTTTAAATATCATTTTGCTCTACAAAGTTTAATAGTTTCCTTTAACCGTGAGTAAGAAAAAAAAATGATTAACAAGCAAGCAAAATGTTTAGGGCAAAATTGGACGACATTGAGAAGTTCTTTGAAACTAGAAGCAACTTGTATTATTGTAGTGGAGTTTGGAAAGATGACCCAGGATCTTGCCCTTATTATCCATGCATTCAAGTGAGTGACCATTACATCGTTTTCTCGGTCCTAACAAGTGGAAGAATGTATCTCGTTTTGCTCATAATTATGTGCTCTTTTATAATGTTATTATAGGCTTGACTAAGATAAGTATATGAATACTTAAGATATCATCGATGTTGTGGCAAATGAGCTCAAAGCAAAACTCCTTGCTAAATTAATTACCTGAATTATCACTAAAATTTCGTAGAGTTTCTGTCGGGTCACTGAACTTTAAAAATTACCCCCTTAATCATTGAACTTTGTAATTCATTATACTATCTATTCAATTGCGCAGAGACAATTGTAATAAATTTAACATATTTCATCACTGCAAGTTGATTGCTTTGTGTATGTTTAAAAATGAAATTTCAATCACTACACTTTTATTTGTAAATAGCAAAAAATTATTCATTCTTTTCTTCTTCATTTTAAAAAAGAAAAGGACACAAATGCAAACACTTGAAAATGTAGAGTTTGGTGGTTGAAATGATTCAAGGCGATCCCCAATCATCTAAATCTCAATCGCCACAATCTTAGTTTGATCGTTTAATTGCTACTGTTGACAACGTTGGAAAGGGAGCTGAACCGACAAATCAACTTTGGAATGGCGCATCATACAGACAATAAGGATAGAGTCGAGATGGTTGTGTGGATATAGTGGTGGGTCTGAAGATTTCTCTAGTTCTTGTGCATCGGTGATTACTATGGTGATGAGATAGGTTTTGGGTATTGGGGAGAAGGAAGCGGGATTTGAAGGGTTTGTAATAGAAATGCTTGAGAGGTGTGGCTAGAGGAAGGAGGAGGAAGATGAGGTGACAAGAAATGAGGACAAGAAGTGGGAATTCAGATAAGGGAGGCCACAACTGTGGTGGTGGTGGTGGTGAGATAGGGTTTGGGCCGCGTGATGGTGGTGTTGGAATATTGTTCAACGGTGTTTGAACACAATAATAATAGTAATTTACGACTGTTTTATATATCTCATTATTAAATTGTTCATTGCATAATTCAGTAGTTAATAATCATCAATCGTATTTAGGAGTAATGATGCTAGTACACTTGCAATTATTGGATTCAACCAATTAAAGCGTTGATTAGTTTAGAGCGGGATATAGTTAAAAAATTAATCACATATAGTTGTTCTTTATAATAAATATTACCTAAAACCGCTATAGGATAGTGGTTGCTATTCGTGAACTTCAAATTATTAAATATGTCAATGAATAAGATCAATTTGTTATAATCAACACCTCAATATGCTGGAAGTTGATAGAAATCGAAGTAGTCAACATGATTCACCTCATAATCCCTTGCCTTTCTGGTACGATCCAAAGCTTACGTGCACATACCGACCGCTGGGCCAAACTTGGGATCTTGTGTTTTAACATTGGGCTTGGCCCAATATATTCTTTTAAACTTCCAAATTAATAAGTTAACAATTCAAATCGCCAACGAATGAGATTAAGTCATTGTTTGGTACACATTAAAATTTTCATTCTCATTTTTCTACTTATTTTCAACCACACATTCTCCAATAAAATAATATTTTACATCACATCAATAACTTTTCCTTCTTTTTCAACCAAACATTCTTCATTAATCTACTATTTCAAAATATATTTTTCTAAAATAATGTGACTCAAACACACCCTAATCTGATTCTAGGATCCTATATGTTGTAGGATCATGCCAATTTTTGACGTATTATTTCCAAAACAGACAGCTGTCCTTTCTCCTTTTCAAATGTTGTATCCTTGCACAAATACTTTTGACAAATTATAAATAGCCTCCCATACTCTTGAAAAATTTGTTCATTTTTTGCTTTCATTATCATTTTGCCCTGCATTCTTAGAAATACACTCTATTAGAAAAGAGAGTGCAATACACATTTTTAGCTCGTCGTTTCTTGTTATTTGAAGTGTTGATACCGCAAGAAAAAATATTTGTATCTTTGGAGAGTGTGGTTTAACCATGAGCACTAGTGCAATTGTGCTGGCACAATCATCCTGAAAATAAAGAGTCGAACTCTTACTTCGATCTATTTTTCCTAACTTCTACATTTTTTATTCATACATTTTTCTTTTCAAGCAATTATTTTGCATGCATTTAGTCTACCTCGTATTCTGAACATATGTTTAAACAAAATATTTATATAATTTGCATTCATTTTCTAATACATTGTCCATTGTGACAGGAATTTTGAAGTCTTAATCAATATTGTCAAACATAGGTAGTATTTCGTTTGCTACGTCGACTGAATTCATGACCATTACATTGCAAATTGTTTGTAAACAGCTTAGCATGCCGCTCAGACTTTTTTTTACTCCCAATTTTGCAAAAATACCCCCAAATTCAAGATTTTCTATATTCTATCACACTTGTCCCAAGAGGACACGTTGCCCCTTGTTCGTAATTATCAAACTAGAGACTCCACTATATTTATAAAATATTATCAAGTTATATTGAATTATTCGATTTCAGTTACTGAAATCGAGAACCAGAACCAGATTAGACTGGACAATTTTCTAGTTTAAAGGAACCAAAACCAATTTATATATAAACGGATCAGATCCGACCAGTTGGCGCGGTTTTGATCTAAAATGCCCGATGCTAACCCTAACCAAGCCCATGTTGAAAACGAAGTAGAAGAGTCATGAAAAATGAGAGTAAACCAAAAGAATCAGAATGCAAAACATTTAAAGAGCATTGCTACATATACAGATTTTTTTTACCTAATATTTTATCTACACTCACAATAGAGTGTGGGAACCACATTTTTTGGAGTTTTTTATTCACGCGTGCCCGCGCACATGTGAGAGGGTGTAACATATTCGATAAGGACAATTCAGTACAAATAGTTTTATTTGCATTTAAAAGCTCAATATTTCAATTTGGTATTGGCAACCCGAGATTAACAATTAATTTTAACGACACATTTCATAGGGTCCCCAACTTTTCAACCTCACATTTCATCAACTTTTATCAAAATCTACTAAAAATCTGATTTTAATATATACCAAACAGGGGCTAGATATAAAACTCGTGATTTGTTGCAATAGGTTGAGGGTGGATGCCCCCCACCCACCCATCTTTCTCTTTCCTTTCGAAATAAGAAGGATTGCTTTGAAAAAATTGTTAATTAATTATTATTGACGGGGTAAAATTCTACATCGAGGACTAAAGTGCTATCAAATTGAAAGTTTATCTGTGTTGTTAAACTATAACAATTA